CTGTGGGGGAGGAAGAAGGGAGGAAGCGCGTGTGAGTGAACAGGTGGGGAACGGTCGGTTGATTCGGTATTGGTTAAATATTGTCTTTCGCTTCCTCTCTCTCTCTTTTCTCTTTCCATTTTTCTCTGTCTCTTTCTCTTTTTTCACTCACTCACTCACTCACTCACTCACTCACTCAACTCACTCACTCACCTCACTCAACTCCCACCCTCCCTACTTTTCTCCCTTTCTCTTTCTCCCTCCCTCTCTTTCCTTCTCCTTTTCCTAATCTTCTTTTCCTTCCTTCCTTCCTTCCTTCCTTCCTTCCTTCCTTCCTTCCTTCCTTCCTCCTCCTCCTCCTCCTCCTCCTCCTCCTCTCTCCCTTTCCCTCCCTCATCCTCATCTTTCTCTCAAAAACTCATCAATAACCAAATTCCTGGCATTTCTGTGTGTGTTGTGTGAATACGACGATGGAAACGACCCGCGTTCATTTTCCAAACCGAATGAATAGCCTTACACTTAGAGTTGCATTTAAATGCAATATATCCGCCAGCCATTGCTAATATATGGACCTAAATGGAGTTTATCACGACTCGTAACTTGCATTTGCAAGGGTGAAGTGCTGGCAGTGATTAATGACATATTAGTGTTAATGCCACGTGTAAACTGGTAGTAGATCACGTGGTCTTCATTGTACTGTATTGGCCATTCCAAAATAATCGAATCATATACGAGAATTGGTTTCTGTTTCGTTCCATAAAATCGTAATCACATTAAAATTACCCACGGTCATATCAATACCCAATATAAGTGGAAAAGTTTAAAAAATGACGTCACACAAAAAAAATAAAACTCGAAAATCATATATATGTAGCTTATAACCGCTCCTACGTGCGCGTGTTTGTGCGAATGTAGAGTCCGTATGTGAGTGTACGTGAGGATGTATGTACGTGTGACGGTAAAAGAGGAAGAGAAGGGGAAAGGAAGAGAAGGGGAAAGGAAGAGGCGGTGGAGACGGTGGCTGTGACAGTAAACCGGTGGGCATCGCTCGGCACCTGTTGATCGGTCGGTTCCTAACAATACCAATCGAAAGTCATTTTATAACCAATGCCAGATATTAAAACGAGAACAGCAAACTAATATAATAACAATCAAACAGCGAAACAAAGCACAAACTAACACGCACACCAACACCAGCATCGAGAAGTTCTGATTGGTCGCAATGCATCAAGTCAGCCCATAAAGTCGACCTCGCATTAGCAAAGTATTTTGATTTCGACTTTGTGAACTGCGTTGATTATGCGCTCGGGCAAGTTTATTGCTGGTGTAATGAATATACTGCAGGGATGTGAGGCATATCGTAAACGTATAATGTATGTGTCTGTGTAGGGGGGAGGGAACGAGGGAAGGGGGGAAGGAGGGAGGGGGGGAAGGAGGGAGGGGGGGAAGGAGGGAGGGGGGAGGAGGGAGGGGTGAGGGAGGAGGGAGGAGGGTGGAGGGAGGCACAAACGCACAAACAACGTCTTGAGAATTTACTATTTATTTGTTTTTGTTTTTGTTTTTTTCATAATGGGCCAAACTCGCATCCACAAACATACTGATTCCACAAAAAAGGGTATAGTTTAAAATATTCACGTTTCGAAAATATCGGTGTGAGGCCGTGTTTTAAAATCCCCATGAGCAATGTGATTTTCAACATAACGCCATCAACGGAATTCAGTAATGATTTTCATCGAAATGAAGCGAAATGAAACCACAGTCTCGATTGCCCTCACGTCTCATTACCATACTGATCTACAGTCTACCCCCCCCCCCCAACGTTCAGCTTGCCTCAAAAATATTGTTGTTCGTGAGTGATGACGTCTGGAAAGCTTGATGAAAACCCTAAGTCAACGCGACAACCATGGGATAAAAGAAAGTAGCCATGATATTTTAAAAATGCAAATGATGATGACGATGATTATGATGACGGGGATAAGGATGATGATGATTATCATAATAACAGTAATGGTAATAATGATGATGATGATGATAATGATGATGATAGCAACACTACTACTACTACTACTACTACTACTACTACTACTATAATAATAACAAAAATATTAACAACAATAATAATAATAGTAGTAGTAGTAGTAACAATAATGATTATAAAAATAACAGTAATAGTAACGGAAAATCAACACGCGAATAATGTACCAACCGCAAATGCAATGGAAATGACGCATGCACTCTTTTTTACAGGTCCCATTCTTTACTGGAACTTGGCATGCTGTCAGAAGTCATGGCCACAACTCACGAGCGAGTGATTAATGTCGCGTCATACCACCTTCACAAAATCACTTCTGGTGATATTTACACACAACGCAATTAAACAAATGACACAAACACACACAAATTCATTCCAACAAGACACAAACAATCAAATGACTCAGGGTATGGGAAATCTAGGTTGCGTCACCTTTTTTCTTCTACAAAATTCCCGTTTATGCCTTTCCTAAATGCTCCTTTGCTCTGCGTGATACCCATGGTGAATATATTCCAAAGATCGACTCCCTGATCTTCGGCGAACCACTCCATTATGTGACTAATGTAAAATTACATTATTTTTAAACCTTGTTAAATACAGTGAGTTTCTCATCACCGACAACCTCCGCGTCAAACCGTAAATGAGCTTCACAACGAATAAGAAAAACACATCTTTCTTTCTCTAATACCAAGGTAGCCGAATAATTGATGTTCTTCGGGCGTAGTTGGTTCACACATACTAAATACTTGGAACTGAGCCTCGCATGATAAGCACGGCTTATCGTGAAACGATAGAAAAAAATATGTAAAATAAAACTTCTACGATCCGAAAGGCACGGCAAAAAAAGGGGAAAAGGGGAGAAGGTCAGTACAGGAGTGTATAGGGTGACGCTTGTTTGCTCTGCCATTAGCTCGCTAGGAACCGGTGGGAGGCAGTGCGCTCTTGGGGAAACTCCAAGGGAGGGACGGGAGTGGGACGGGCGCTGGGCCAAGGGGGAAGGGACGGAGGTATTACCGGGAAGAGGAAGGGGTAGCGACCCCCTAAACAAGACCCTTCATACCCCTCATACACATACTTCCCCCCTCCCCCCAGGCCCTCCCCTCGTTTCCGCTTCCCTCCGCCAGGAAGTGTGGATTAATCGCGTCGAGAGAAGTAAAATATTTGCGCAACGTGACGCGCGACGGCGGTGTGGACACATGTCCGGAGAGACGACCGCTCTTATTACACCAATTCCAAGAGCGCCCAGCCACGTGGGGGCGCCCTGTTGACCCTGCCAACACCCCTCGCTGCGCCTTTTCCTCGTGCCCTGCCGCCTCCGTCCATGCGTGGTCCCCGAGGAGGGGGACGAAAGGAAACTATGCGAAATCATTCACGGTAATGGGAAGGGAACGGCATTAGAACAGAAAGATTATTATATTAGAAACAGAGGTATTCATATGAGAATACGAGTCTCTTATTTCTCCCAACCTACCTACCTACCTACCTACCTACCTACCTACCTACCAACCAACCAACCAACCAACCTACCTACCTCCCTCTCTCTCTCTCACACACACGCAATTTGTGTGCGTAATCAAATATTATCAAAATAACTATCGCCAACAATTTCCCTGATATTACATCCGTTATTAGTAAATTGCAGAAAAGTTTGATATCACCCATCGATCACATCAACTATTAAAATCAAAACGCAGGAACAAAAAAAATGACGTGATTACTGGGGTCACGTTGCAGTCGATAGTGTGTTGCCAGAAATTGAAAACTGACGAAATAACTACCTCAATTTTGGTTAAAAAAAGAAAAAAAGTTTCATATAAACGGAATAATAACACTTAATGCGATTCCTTTCATGCAAAACCAGAATGTTTATCAATTGTTAAAAAATGGGGTTCAAGGAATTCAATGTCAATATCTTCCCAGCCAAAATGAATTAGAATGAACATGCAAAAAAACATTCATGCACTTGAAATATGCATAACAAGTATTTTCACATATATATCTCTGTATGTGTATGTTTGTGTACATGTGTGTGTATATGTGTATGTGTGTATGTGAACCTGTGTATGTATGTGCATATATGTATGTATGTATGTGTATGTATATACTTTTATATATGATATGTATGTATGTATGTATATGTATATACTTTTATATATGAACTTTGTGTATGCGCGCGCGCGTGTACACATATATACAAGTACATATATGAACAGTACACACACACACACATATATATATGCATATAAACAAACACAAACACACACACTATATATATAACTATACTATATATAACTATATATACATATATATACACATTATATATATATATATATATATATATATATATATATATATATATATATATATATACATATATATATATACATATATATATATACATATATATGTGTGTGTGTGTGTGTGTGTGTGCGTGTGTGTGTGTGTGTGTGTGTGTGTGTGTGTGTGTGTGTGTGTGTGTGTGTGTGTGTGTGTGTGTGTGTGTGTGTGTGTGTGTGTGTGTGTGTGTGTGTGTGTGTGTGTGTGGGCGGAGAGAAACTGGCCATTCTCCCGCATCATCTCGCCATCCTGTCAAGATCCCCTATTCTATCTAGCTCCTACACCCTGCCATCGGCGAAACCACCACAGCCCCTGCCCCAAGAGACGATCTACAAGGAAACCTCCACATACAAAACACCCGAGCCCCGAGAATCCTGCAGCCACTTTCTGCGACAATCATGGCGGAACCGGGAGAAGCAGGTCTCAAGTACGGCGATCTAAGCCTTGTTGCGAGTGCTCTAAATCACGTGCTTTGAGGGCCAGAAAATACTCGACATCTGGATACGCTATCTGGAATGCCTCGCACTACGGAGCCTAGTGACTTTATGGTGTGTTTCCTTTTCGGAGTCTTTGTGTTGCGTTTCCCATTAACCTCATGACCGCCACTATTCTCTACAATCGAGTGAATTAATTCGCGAGGATAGTCATTAAA